CCCTCATCCAGGTCATTAATAAAGATATTGAACAAAACCGGTCCTAGAACCGAGCCTTGAGGTACTCCGCTAGAAACCAACCGCCATCCTGACATCGAGCCGTTGATCACTACCCGCTGGGCTCGGCCTTCTAGCCAATCTTTCTATCCATCTTACTGTCCATTTAGCCAATCCACATTCCCTTAACTTGCTGGCAAGAATATTGTGGGAGACCGTATCAAAAGCCTTGCTAAAGTCAAGGTATATCACATCCACTGACTTTCCCACATCCACAGAGCCAGTTACCTCATCATAGAAGCTAATCAGATTGGTCAGGCACGACTTTCCCTTTGTGAATCCATGCGGACTATTTCTAATCACTTTCCTCTCTTCCAAGTGCCTCAAAATGGATTCCTTAAGGATCCATTCCATGATTTTTCCAGGAACCGAGGTAAGACTCACTGGCCTATAGTTCCCTGGATCGTCCTTCTTCCCTTTTCTGAAGATGAGCACTACATTTGCCTTTTTCAAATCATCCGGGATCTCTCCTGACCGCCACGACTTTTCAAAGATAATGGCCAAAGGCTCCTCAATGACATTTGCCAACTCCCTCAGTACCCTCGGATGCATTAAGTCCGGACCCATGGATTTGTGTACGTTTAGCTTTTCTAAATAGTTCTTAACCTGCTCTTTACCCCTCCACGACTTTTCAAAGATAATGGCCAAAGGCTCCTCAATGACATTTGCCAACTCCCTCAGTACCCTCGGATGCATTAAGTCCGGACCCATGGATTTGTGTACGTTTAGCTTTTCTAAATAGTTCTTAACCTGCTCTTTACCCACCAAGGGCTGTCCATCTTCATCCCATCTTGCGTCACTTAGCCCATTAGTCCAGGAGCCCATCTTCTCCGTGAATACAGAGGCAAAGAAAGCATTGAGTACTTCAGCTTTCCCCACATCATCTGTCACTAGGTTACCGCCTTCATCCAGTAGAGGCTGCACACCCTCTCTGATCACCTTCTTGTTAACATGCCAGTAGAAACCTTTCTTGTTATCCTTCACATCCTTAGCCAGTCGCAATTCCATTTGCGCTTTCACCTTCCTGATAATCCCCCGGCATTCTCGAGCTATACATTTAAACCCCTCCCTGGTCATTTTCCCAAGTTTCCACTTTTTGTAAGCCTCCTTTTTGTGCTTAAGTTCACCAAGGATTTCCCCTCTAAGCCAATCCGGTCTCCTACCATGTTTGCCTCTCTTGCTATACGTCAGGATGGTTTCTTTCTGTGACTTCAATAAGGCTTCTTTAAAATACTGCCAGCTGTCCTGGACTCCTTTCCCCTTCATGTTAGCATCCCAGGGGATTCTGCCCATCAGATCTCTGAAAGAGTCAAAATCTGCTTTTTTGAAGTCCAAGGTGTGTATTTTACTACTCTCTTTTCTTCCTTTGGTCAGGAACACACTTACAGCTGCCATCAACAGGAGTCACGGGTCAGTTCCTGACTCCTGTGGGCTGGAGCAGTCCTAAGCTCATGGTGGGCTGCTCCTGGATACTGATTACCCATTCACATCCCTAGTTTAAACCATGACAGAAGAATTATGAATTAATGGCACCAGTGGTTTCAAATATGAATACACATTCCACGGTCCAGCGGCTCATCAGAGCAAAGATAAAGAGAATGAAACCATTCAGGACAATTATTCCATCTTAGCTTAATTAGAAAAGTGCAAAATATCCAATATTATATATTCAGAGAGGCAGTGTGGTCTAGTGAACAGATCAATGGGCTGTGTATTCAGACACTCATGTTTTATTCCTGGCTCTGCTATTGGCCTGCTGGGTGCACTTGGTCAAATCACTTCACTTCTCTGTACCCCAGCTTTCTCCTCTGCAAACTGAGGCTAATGATACTGACCTCCTTTGTAAAGTCTTTGACAGCCTCTGGTGAATAACACTCTCTCATAGCTAATTTGTTGGACAGATGGGATGGAAAGAGAAGAGAAACATTATAAATTGTGGTCTGTGACAAATACCAGAGGTCTCCTATTTCAACAGGCCTGCAAGCCTGGCAGAAACAAAAAGATACAGACTCCACCCTGAAGCTCCTCTGTATGTGCTTAAGAGAAATTACACATATTTTTAACTTATTATTAGTGATAGTTATTTGTATTACAAGAGAGCCTAAGGGCCCTATCAGAGAGCTGGGTTCCCTTTCATCGGGTGTGCCGTGCACACAGAGCAAGCCCTAGCCTGGAGAGCTCACAATCTAAACAGATAAGACTGAGGCTATGTCTTCACTAACGGAAGACAGAGAGTGTCATGATCAGTCTTCCAGGGTTTGATTTGAAGAGTCTAGGTAAGACTCTCTAAATCAAACTCAGAGGATGCCCCTGTCAGCATCTGGTACTCCTGCTCCTGTTTTTTGCTCCTGTTGGCCCCTCGCTGTGGGGAGGGGAGGGAAATTCAAAACAAGGTATGTTGACTCCAGCTACGTAATTAACAAACTTCCCTTTTAGTGTAGACCTGGCCTTTGAGAAAAGATGCCAAGGGAAAAACAGCACAGAGAGATGATGCAGCCTGTCAATGTCATACAGCAGCCAAATGAGTAACAGAGCTCAGGTCTCCTGACTCCCAGCCTAGTTTCCTATCCAATGGAACCATGTTGTCCCCACAACTAAGGCCATGTTCATGCTTACAGTGGTGCAGATAGCTGTATAATTGTATGATGCCACTGAGACAGCGCTGTACATTTTTCAGGAAATGTAGAGTATATGTGAGGTATCTGTTACAAAATGTATGAGTGTTTAATAAAACAGATGGGCTTAGCCTTATTAATGATTTAGTTTTACACTTTGTTTTTTTGACAAAATGTTTGGGTAGGGGGGAGGCACACTGTTACACCAAACTCTCTACTATCACACTGTCACATGCAATTAAAAAAAAAAAAAAGACTGAGCTCAAATTTTTTTCTAACTTACCATTTGTGACTTCCTTGGCATTGGTGCTGGTGGTTGGATCTGTGTTGAAGTGCTTGCTATAGAACCAGTTTGTGTTACAGAAGCCTCAGATACAGAAGAGGATTCTCCTTTTGTTAAAAGTAAGCAAAACAATTTGAAGTGATGACATGTTTTTAAAAAGTTATAAATATATAACGCTACACTTAAAATCAGTTTATTCTTGTTATTGAAATATGCAAGTTATACTTCTTCCTTCAAATGTTCTGCTCCTGGTGGTTCTCCCTCAATTCCTAAACTGATTGTTTCATCTACAAACAGCTCTCTGGCATTAAAGACAGTTATGTAAGAGCTTTTCAATACTCCCGTGATGCAAACTAAAGAAAACCTAAGAAAGGTGAGATAGGTAACCAGGGTGAGCTATATGCTTTTCCATTTCCTCACATACAGTCATCAGACTGGAAGGGACCTACATAGGTCATCTAATCTAGTCCCCTGAACTCAAGGCAGGACTATGCAACAACCACACCATTCCTCATAGGTGTTTGTCTAACCTGTTCTTAAAAACCTCTAATGACGCTGAGATTTCACAGCCTCACAAGGGTGAGGGCTCCCTGACAGGAAATTTTTCCTAACGTCCAACCTAAATCTCATTTGCTGCAATTTAACCTATTCTCAAAGGTTAACAAGAGCCTTTTTCTCACCCTCCTCCTCGTAACAACTTCTATGTACTCGAAAAATGTTGAATCTCCCTTCAGTCTTCTCTTCTCCAGACTAAACAAACGTGGAGAAGAGAGGACTAAGGGAGGGGACAAGATAACTGTTTTCTAGCACATCATTCATTTCAGACTGCCCTCTTGTTATAACTTCTCTATGCTCAAAAAACTGCACATCAAAAAGTGTTCATTTTACTGGTTGCAAAGCTTTAATCAGATGCTGCATCCTGAATGTGCCCATGGAATGTATTCCAGACCTCTCCACAGAGGGCCAAGAGAAGAACTCCCATGGCCTTCTGAAAGACACACGAATAGTGAATAGACCTTTCCTTAGCTCTGAAGAGAGATCCAGGACAAGTACAGAATGGCCATACTGAAAACCAATGTACAGATGTATAGATTTATAAAAATGGTGGAAAGGGAAATTGAGAAGTGAGAAATTAATTTTCCTGAGTGTCCCCATATAGCGGGGCTGGGGACCTCAGGCCTGTGGCCCAGATGCGGCCCCTAGCTTGCCTCAATCTGGCCCTCGAGGCTCAGGGATCTCCCCATCATAGGGCTGGAGCACACAAAATCAACTAGCCTGGGCCCCCTATGCTCTGTTGTGTGAGGGGAACGTGA